TGCGGGCTCAGTGATGGTAACACCATTGAACGTCAAGGGGAGCGACGGTAAGATTGTCTCCTGCTGTGGGTCTGGAGTCACCAGACCAGGTAAGGACAGCGGTTTGCTTCCTTCAAGGATATCAGCGAATCGAGTAGGTTTTGCCGACGGCCCTCACTGGATTAGAGTCGTTCAATGCAGAAACAGACCCTTCAGCCCATCTCGTCCGTGCTGACCAACTTTCCCAAACTAAATTAGTCCCATTTGCCCGCGTTTGGCCCCATATCCCTCTGTAAACCCCTTCCTATCCGTGTCCCCATCCAGATGCCTTGTAATCGTACCAGCCCCCACCCCACTTCCTCCGGCAGCTCGTTCCACACATGCACCGCCCTCTGCCTGGAAAAAGTCCCCCCCCCCACCCCCGGTCCCTTTTAAATCTTTCGGCCCTTGGTTTTGGACTCCCCCCGAGTCCTGGGGTGGGGGGGAGCCAATACCTTGGCTCTTCCACCTTTTTATCTGTGCCCCTCGTGAGTTTATGAAACTCCCCCCACGAGGTCTCCTCCTGAACCTCCTACGCCACACGCGAGGAAAGCCTCCGCTTCTCCTCCTGACTCTTCGCCTCCGTCCCCGGCACTGTCCTGGCCAATCTTTTCGGAGCGACACCCCCTCCCCAAAACAGGATGACCAGAACCATACACAGACACACGCACATGGTGTCCCCAGAAGAGGCCTCACCCACGTCCCTGCACAACCTCCCAACGGGACGTACCCCCTCCCCCACCCCCGGCTCAAAGGGCTGAGGGGCGAGCGTGCTTCTGAAGCACCCCGTCTGTCGCAGGCCGCAGAGCGTGACACACCCGAACAACTCCCCCACCCCCACCAATAAGTCTCTCCGTTCTACCCAGGGGCCCCCTGCCCTCGTTTGTTTGGCCGAAATGCAATGCCCTCGCGCTTATCCAAATCAAAACCCCCCCCCACCCCCACCGCCTGCAACTCGTCAGACCAACCGGTCGTAGCTGTAAACCGTGGCAGGATCCGAGCCCGGGTCCCCAGAATGCCACCGGGGATGGAGGTTTTGGGGTGGGGGGTGGGGGTGGAGGAGAAGGCCTCGAGAGGCTCAGTTCCTGTCGACGTCTCTGCTCACACATTTGTTCCTCCCCACCAGGGGCCACCCTGAACGTCATCCAGCTCCTTCAGCACTTCGAGCACCTGGCCCCGGTCCTGGCGCAGTCCGTGGCTACCTGGGCAGGAGACTACGGCCTCCGGTCCATCGTCGGTGAGATCATGAGGTGAGGAAGGGTTTCGCTGAGGGTTGGTGGTGGTGGTGGAATCTCGTCGGGCGAGAATCTCGTTCCCCTCCCCTCCTTCAACGATTCGGTCGACCGTCTTTTTTTTTATTCCCTCGCTGCAGGGAGGTGGGAGTGGGGGAAGGAGCCCGCGAGTCGGCGGGAGCCCGGGCCTGCGCGGTGTTCCTGACGGAGCTGGCGGATCGGGTGCCGGAGGCGATGGTACCCAACGTCAGCCTGGTGTTGGACCTGCTGAACGGCGAGGTGAGGGCAAAGGTCAGGGAGGAGGGGCCTCGATTCGTTCA